AGTAATAGCTCATGTTTGAGCGATGCAGCCGCCTCTCCCTGGCATACCCAATGTTTCTTGCTTCAGTCGCTAGACTTCGCCATGTAAAACAACATTGCAGGTTGCCTGTAGCCTGAATGCTCCTGTTGAAACGCTCTACCAGTCCATTCGTCTGAGGATTGTTGGGAAAAGTAGCCGCATGCTCAATTCTGCATTTTCGTAGAGAAGATCTAAAAGTACGGGACATAATTGGTGTTACTTTGTCAAAATAATTGATAAACGCTGTGTAGAATGCCTCGTACAGAGTGTTTGTTTAGAAAGACTGACTAGATGTCAGTGTTTCTGACTAGTGTTTGTGGTGTTCAACTTCCGCCGTCCGCCGCAGATAATCGGCCCGGCGATTTATTTAGAACGGAATAATTACTGTCATAGCGGTGCACAACTATGCGCGAAGGGAGCTATAAGAGCACCGGGCCAGAAGAGAGTAATGACGTAGCAGCAACCGCTTTTATTTGTGGCATAGAAGGTTCCCGCTGCTTGAGTCTTAGATTGAACGCATGTGCGGAAGTGGGCGGAGGTACTGCAGCCGAACTTGTCGCACCACCGTTGTCTGACGCCCACAGGCGCAGGTATCTGGGACTGCCTCCACTTCGACTCACTTCGTTAGGTAGTCGGTTGCGACACTTACGTACTTGCTACCAGCGTCAGACCTTAGGAACAGCCAGGAGTGATCAATTCCAACAATCTTAAACGGAATGCCTAATGGAGGTATCTGCTGCAGTTTATCTGGCCTGGATGCGGTAGTGCTTTCCGCAGTTGGCATGTTGTGCATGGCGCAACGTACGGTCAAACGTTCACTCTGAATTGGGGCCACCACAATCTCATTGCGGCTTTGTCGAGCGTCCGATCTTTTACAAGATGACTTATAGTCTGAAAATTATTATGCACCACAAGAATATTGTACCTAATTTTAAAAGAAACAACGGGGAGTCGCTGTTTAGGTGGATGTATTTGATGGCACAGCAGACCATCCCGAAGCTGGTAGGGCGCTCGCAAGTGACCCAAACGACGTTTGTGAAGTCCCATCCTGCTATTTACTTTGCACATGAGCAAGTGGATTATGTCAAACATTTCACGTTCACCCGCCTCAACCAAACAAAGATCACAAAGCGCGAGCACCGAGGAAACTGTGGTGACCTCAATGGGTTCTGTGAGAACAACATTTACACCTTAGTGATCCTTTCTACATCAGTGAACCACCAAAAAGTAGAACTTTTATATTTTTATTGTCTACTCCGTCAATTTTAACGTAAGATTGGCCTCTGACCGGAGCAAACGCAGGGCTGAGCTATCTAAAGAAATTACTGCAAAATGCGTTCCCTAGATGTTTGGACGGAACGTTTTTACTGTCAAAACAACAGCAAGACCCGCTTGTTCTAAGGAGTTACATCGACGTCCTGGCTTGCTAAGTTTGGGGTTCGCATACGTGACCAGGTGTTGTATTCTTTCCCTTTTCTTGTGACAATAAAACACAGCGCCTAGTTTTTTTTACCGTTGGCGTCAGTGTGAATGAATATCAGAGCTTCCCGTCTGACAAAATTGTCGGAGTTCATGGCTCAAGCTGCTCTTTTTTGATGCCTGCAAAGGAAGTTTGTTTCTTTTCGAAACACCCCCCCCCCCGTAGTGTCGTTTTTAGGAAGCTCAGTGGAGGAGCTCTAACAAGGTTTCGGCGAATGAACGTAAGGAAAAAGCAAAGCTGAAGATGCTTTTTAGCTGCTTCGTGGAGTGGCCTCTGGAATATTGACTAATGCTCTGAACTTTATTAGATTCGTGCGAATTCTTTCTTGCTAACAAAGGCCCCACGCAAATTAATTTGCCGCAGCTGAAGAAGCATTTTGATGAATTCAGTTCATCTGAGCATTGGTTAGGGCACTGAGCCCCAAAAGCAGGTGGTGCCGTGGTGTTCTGAAAGAAATGTATGCGTACACGTAGATTTTGTTAAAATAATCTAACGACATCATGCACATGAAATATCGGAGCACTCTATCCACGAGGCTTTGAGAGCTGAAGACACATCGTACGGTAATAAAGACAGGCGTTAAAACTGAAGTAATTCGTCAGTCCTCAGAAAGGTAGTTTTTTTCGAATCTTTCCGGTTCAGTCTACTTGTCATTATCCAGTCTTTAGACCTAGATTCCAGTATAGCAATGTAGCTGGCACTTCGAAGGTGATCAAAAGGTTAGTCATGTCTAGGCAAGACACATATTCCTAAATCTGTTATGTCGTTTTGTTTATGGTAATCTACAGAAAAGCATCTAGAGCCGGGTCTTGTTTACAAAAGCCACTGGTGATGACGGTGACTAGTGATAACCAAATACTATGGAAGCTTGCAAAAGTGTCCCCTCGGAACATGTCGTTTACCTTGTTGTTTATCTCCTTATGCTCTGTCATTAAAACTCGCCATGGATTCTAATGCACCAGAGCATGATCAGCAGTGTTGATGAGGTGGCTCACAAGTGGTGTGCACCATAGTTCTTCTGGTGCTATAATAATGCACTGTCAAAACTCCATGAGCAGATTTTCTAGTTGTGGTTCTTGTTCGTTCGTTAAGGTGTGTCCAAACTTAGATTCTGACCTTTGAAGATTGAGGCCTCGTCAAAGGTAATTTCCCGAAAACGACAACGTTGGGGGTCCAAAAAATAATGGCGGCTGTCGCATTCGGGAGGGCTAAAGTCTCTGGTTCCAAGTCTTCACCATATCATGACCAGGTCACCATTCGCCAGGTTTGAAACTGGAAGTATTAGACAGCTTTTTTCGCAGAAAACAAGGCAACATGGTACAGCGAATTCCAGAACGGGACGAAATTGTAGCAGTTATTAAAATAGGATGTGTGTTTGGCGATGTCGAACTTGCAATTTTTGCTGAAGCCTAAACTGCGAGGAGCCTAGGTACAACAGTGTTTGATGGTGCGAAAATGCAAGATAGCCATGGTTTGCGATAGACCGTTTGTACCAGTAGTGGAGAGCAAAATCGGGTGGCGGTTTTGATGTTCAAGTAATTTTGGGCCGGATCGTTCACGGTCAGGTTTTTCAGGCTTGACCACGCTAAGCCACATTTAGCCATAATGCCCCCCAGCTTCCACGAAATTGCCTGTTTATTTTCCTCGCCCTGTTCCTGAAGCAAATCTGTTGGAGGCCTACTAGACAGATTGGAAATATTCAACGTCGGCAGGCCTGTCAAATAGTGTTCACTTCCTCAAAACGAGACAGAAATTTAAATTTTCGAACGGCAGTCGCAGACAAATCTTACAAGTCATTGCAACTTGCGGAAAATTATGACGGGAAGGTTAAGTTTTTGCCCTTTGATTTTCACAAACAAGTAGTTCGTCTTTTTCAAAAAATACCAGCAGTGTTTTGAGCAATCACACTTAGATGATTGCAGAAATGCAAGAGCAATGTGACTTATAGCTGCTCTTGTTTATACGATAGCAATCACTTGTTGCTCCGACTCCCGAAGATGAACGAAAAGGCAACGTGCTACTGAAGTACGAGGAGACGTTGTCACAGGCGGGATAGGATGCACTGCATAAGATTAAACTTTGCCACTTTCTCTTTCATTGGGTACTTTCGGCGATGGTACAGGTTGGGACTTTATGGGGCCAAGCGTTTTGTGAATGATCTAGGAAAGTGACTAAAGTTATGACACGTAAAGCAACCACGTTCACTGGGATGAAACGCGGAATATTGTAGAGCCATATCTGGAGACAGGATGCGAATTTCTACACCATGTTGCTTTTTTTGTTGACTATTTTAACAATGCGTGCACGAGACAGCACTCTGCAAGTCGTGTCAGGCAGGAAAGCCGAAAACAAAACGCTGAATATTGCTGTCCTTGATTCTGTCGATTAAAGCACCATTGCAATCTCCTCCAAGGTGATCTTTCTACATACGACGAGTGATTCTAGCCTCCATTCGCTGGACTGCGTAAAGTAACTCCTAGAGCGTTTTTGATCTTCGCCGAAGGTGCTTCGAAGCAGTTGGGCAAAATTCCTTCAGATGTTCATTACCAAAGCGGGCATATAAAGCTTCTACTTGGAGCTGATACGCTGCGATTTGCAAACAAATCGCAGCGTATCAGCGCAGTTGGGTAAACATAACACGAGTTTTCCGTGCTGTGTCCAGATCATAAAAGTAAGAAACCATTTGAAATTAGACGAAGAATGCTTGCCAATACGACTGCAGATGAAATGTCGTCTGGGTCGCAATTTTTGATGTGCGATTCCTTCAGTAAAAGTAAGCTTTCCCGGACCAACCATAGGGTTTTTTTTTTAAAAATAACGTGCCGTTGGTGACTTGGAGGACCTTCTCGTTGCTCAACATGGAGGTGTTTCTCAGCCTGTCGTACCCTAGATTCTATGAACAAAAGACTGCGATTCACGCGTTACCAGACATCGGAGACCTGACATTCGACCGCAGTTTCCAGAAGAGACAGACGGCTTGGAACTAAATTAGTGACGGTTCCAAGCACGTTCGGGGGCTCGATGGGGTTCCATTCAGCGGGGGTCCTGCATAACCATACCTCGGTTTGAGTCGAAACAGAAGTGGATACGACATCACTTGGCTCCGATCGGTTTGTCAGTTGGTTACCCCACCGCTGACACCAAATTCTGCGGATGTCTCAGTTCACGAGAACACGGGCACACAGAGCACACTCCCCAGTTCAACACTATCGTCTTCCTTTACTAATTGAATTCTAGTACTTGGTTGTGAATATATTATGAAGTTCAATTAATTTCTACACAGTGTAGAAAAATCAGGTACCTGAATTAATTAAGAAGCAACTTGGAGATATTCTATAATTTTGTGCTCCTCATCCGCACCTGCTGTTTTATAGTTTTGTATCATTTGATGTTGTTAAAGATTTTTTTTTTAGTTTACATAATTTACATTCATATTGACTGGTCCTTTTGCTCGTTGATTATAGTGTTGTATTTATTGGACATCCGACCTCGTCCTTCGCACCGTATTTGAATCGCTGCACTGGGTGGTTTCATGAAGACCGTAGACTTCCTTGACACATGAAGGACGCTCCGGCGGTTCGCATTCTTTTGAGGCTTCTCCATAATCTTCTGTATGTAGAATCCAGAATGTGCACTCTGAAGAAGAAAAAAAAGACAATTTTAAACAAATGTTAATAATTTTTTTTATATTTTTTCAATGCGCCTAGAATTCCACAGGCAAGCAAATTCACGAATAGGGCTGTCACATTCGAAATATGGCGTACTTGTCTGACGTAAGCATCTTCCCAACTTACCCGTAGGCATCAGCTATTGTGGGTGTTGTACCATAAGCACTCAAAAGCAAGTGGTGAGCATATTGTCGCTGATGGAAACTGCTCGATGAGCGTAAATTGAAAATAAAGGTTTAATTGGTGAATTTGTGTCAGAATCAAAAGAAAGAATGAGCGTCGAAACAGCTGCAGCGAGCGTCGCAGCGTCGGCGCGACAGTTGGCTTGAGCGAGGCTGCGAGACTGACTGAATCGGCAAGGCGATGGTCGGCTCCTTATGTACTACACTCAGTATCTCTAATATTCGACCTTGAATGTTCGGGAGTGAGCTAGGGCGAGACTGACTCGGCAAGGCCATATTGGTTTCTTTATCTTTTACACCCCGGATAAGAGTAATGAATCTTAAAACAATGCTTTTCCATAATTTCTGGATGGCTGGTGATCATCTGCTAGAGGACGAACAAACAGAATTCGAATCGAAATTTAGCAGGGAAGAGTGTGGTAGAATGCGACAGTCAATATATTTCTCCAGTGAATAGTTTCAAAAAGTTTATGAACTTCTATATTCATGACGCTGTGGTAGCAGTAATTTCAACTGTAATGGCGTTGTGCTTAGCGTGGTGTATACGATCTCAGCAAGTTGTTGCCTCTTCGGCACTCAAATGTAAGTAACAAACATTTGTTTTTCTTGATTTCTGACCAAAACGGTATGGCCAACGGTCGTAGTAAGCTAACCTTGGAAATATGTGTTAATAGGGTGCTTTTAACTACCGCTATTTTAAGCTTAAGGTCTCACTTGTTGCCACAATTGGCAACTCACCCTGTGTAAGGCAGTATGGGAGGAATGGGACACTGAGATGGTGAGAGGAAAGGGACAGTGTCTCAGTTCTCTTTTTATAAAGATTGGTGATCTGAATGGTGGACCCGTAATAATGGTGATTCATCTAAGTTTAGTTCATATTAAAATTGAGCTCCAATTATTTGGTTTTAAAACGTTAGCGCATTGTTAATCCCCGGTTCAAAATCACAGACAATCGGAGGAAAAAAAACAAAAAACGACTGTGATCGGGCTTCATGCCTGATGAAGCCCCGTTTGCTTATAATATTCACTAGTGCAATTTTTAGCGCAACCTTGCATGTGCCCCGTTTCTCCTTGGGAAAAGGGTGGAATAAAACACATTTTCGTTCTTGCATTTTTTTACATTTATGAATTAGGGAAGTGTTATGACAAAGTGCTTTTCAACCGATGTGAAGGATCTTTTACCTTGCATTTAGGACCATTAAACTTGTTTTTATGTGACTACTAAAAAGCTACACAAAATTTATAGTGTGAAAACTGTCCCATTCCTCCTCACTCTCCCCCTAAATATGCATGGTTTTCACATTGTTGAGTTTACATTAGAGGATATTTATTACTACTATGTCTACGAGTGACGCCTATATTTGTTGAATATGTGTCGTTTCAGTTTGGTATCCAGTGAGATGAAAAGTTGTAAGCAGCTCTCTTAACGTTGTTTTAGAGGCCCTAACGAAGCATGACTAAATGACAACAGTTATAGTAGGCATGAAACATGAGCATTATGTTTCTGACATTGAAGTTTGTTTAACGACAATTTTTCTAGAAACTAGGAATGAAAGGGACGAAATCACATGTAATACACACAAGAAAGGCTCGAGAAAAGATTAAAATATTAATTTCATGCGCAAAAAATAGAGGCAGAACTTTACGCGCATAAATGCATACAGACAGATATTCGTACCTTTCCTAGTTGACGTCTTTAGGACATAACAAGAAGTATAATCTGTGTTAATGACCAAATATTCAACTGCTCTCCCTGTTAGATCTGAAAGATGAAACCAAGTAACATCTGTAGGTCATGTGGCACACCTCAGACAGCGCTTTTTGTGACGAGCAATAAAGAGTTGGTATCACGAAAATGAACAAAACTAATCACTAATTGCAATTTAAAAAAGTTAAAGCCGTTTACAACTCCCTGTAACGCCGAATTAGAGCGCAGCTCTTGAGGAGGAAGAGGAGAGGGTACTGAGGGTCACATGTTCTCGGGGGGGGGGGGGGGGCAGGTCACGTGACCCCCAAGTTACGCCACCCCTCCCCGAGGTCACGTGGGGGGGTCACGTGACCTTGGGGTGCCACGTGACCTCGAGGGGGGTCACGTGACCCCCCAGAGAAACTTTTCCGCTAGATCGAAATTTTTCCGCTAGATTTAGCGGGGAAATTTTTCCGCTAAATCCAGCGGACAATTTTTTATGCTAGATTTAGCGGGGAAACGTTTCCGCTAGATTTAGCGAGAAAAATGTTCCGCTAGATTTAGCGGGGAAATTTTTCCGCTAGATTTAGCGGGGATATTTCTCTCTAAATTTAGCGGGGAAAATTTTCCGCTAGATTTAGCGGGTAAATTCTTCCTCTAAATCTAGCGGGGAAATTTTTCCGCTAGATTTAACGGAGAAATTTTCCCGCTAGATTTAGCGGGGAAATTTTTCCGCTAGATTTAGCGGGAAAATATTTCCGCTAAATTTAACGGGAAACATTTTCTGCTAAATTTAGCGGAGAAATGTTTCCGCTAGATTTAGCGGGGAAATTGTTCCGCTAAATTTCGCTGTTTTATGGACGCTGCCTTATGGCCAGTCGCTGTTTTATGGGCTTGTCCACAAACGACGGGTAAACTTCACTGAGGATTGGGGCTAAACAGCACCCTATGCAGACTCCTTTCTTTTGTATGAAGATCTTCCCCTCATATTCTACCAGGGTGCATTGAAGGTAAGTGGCTATTAATTCTACGAAACGTGCCACTGACACACCGGATGAGTTCTGGAAATCAGAAATCCGAAGCTCGTAAATAACATGAGAAACGTAGTCTAGGAGTAAATTTAGGTCTAATTAGTACATGTCTTCTATGTCAAGCGAAAACATGGCAGTTGGTGTGGAAGAGGAATGTAGAAGACTGATGCGTGAAGTCAATTCCATGGAGTTGGAACCCCTGAACGGTTGCTGAAGGCGAACTTCAGAAAGGTGCTTCTCCAAATAGAGGCCAACTGTTTTTTGGCACCAGCCCCTTTCGGAGGTGATGCTTCTCAACGGAATTCCATCTTAGTGAGTCTTTGCAGAAAAGAAAACGGATGAGTACTGATTTGCAGGACGACCGATAGCTTTCTTCAGGTTTGGGAGGTTGAGCCCTGCCGGCGCTGCGGCCGCTTCTGCTCCTCTCGGCGACGAGAATGCTTTCGCACCACGGTTAAGAGTTGAGCTTGTTGGTACATACTTGTAAATATATCAGCTTGAACTTTAGAAATAACTAGAACACAAGACAGAAAAAACAGGATATGACACACAGCTGTGGTCATATCCTGTCCTTTCTGTCTTGTGTTCTAGTTATTTCTAAAGTTCAAGCTGATATATTTACAAGTATGCTTTCGCACTCACAACTCATAAGAGATGCTTAGGTGTCTCGAAGTGTCCGGGCAAAGTAACGTGAAACCAGAGTAACTTGTAAGCTGCAACTTACTCAGTAACTTAAGTTGTAACGTCGCCAGTAAAGTAATTAGCTACATTTGTATGGAAAAATTAGTAATGGTAACACATTACATTTTAAATTGAGTAATTTGTAATATCAATCCATCTAATTATTCATGTAATGTACTGAAGGTGGGTGACTCTGTAGTATTCGATTGGATTTTAAAATTATTTTGAAGCGATGTTCGTACACCCCTGCACTCGGTTTCACCTCACGATGGACCGCAGGGGACGCTACGGGTCACGGCAGCTAAGCTAGCTCCGTTAATCTATCGCGTGCTTACGCGCCCCGCGCGTCACTGCTTGCCTCCTGAAGATATCCTGTCACTCGCATGGCCATAGATTGGTTTCGGATTACGATCAACCGCAGCGTCTGCTGCGGCTTATTATAAAACACAATAAAGCATAGTATTTTTTTCAGCCTCACGTGACGCAATCACGTAAACGGAACAACATGGAAATACTGTCACTTCTGCTTCTTTCTTGCTTCTGTTTGTACACTTATCGTCACGGGCATCGTGTAATACAAAGCAAACGTAGCGGAATGATTGGCAAGAGATACCAGTTTGCCGTAGCGGACACGGCGTACAGATGTGCATTACGCGTAACCCGGATGGGCATGCAGCAAGGCTACCCTACCACATGGCGCCCAACGTGGGGCCATGTGGTAGGGTTGCCTCGCTGCATGCCCACCTCGACGACTGCGACCAGGAGCGTGCCATAGCGCTGATACAGTGTCGCCGGCCAGACCTTCTGCGACGACCCCCTCGCAGCGACGACCACGACGACACTGTCATTGATATGCCTGACTTTGGGGGGGGGGGGGGGAGTGTGGGAGCGAGGGTCGGCCACCGCGACCAGAGGCCGCTGCTGACCACCCAGGGTGGACAACGTCCGGGCCGCGCAACAGCGCACGAAGGACAGGCGCGAGAGGATATAAAAGAGGGGACACACCCACAGAAGGGGGAGACGGATCAAAGGCACGGAGACGCGTAGGTCGAATGCCCGGCATTGTTATACTTCACTACTAACAACCTTTTGCTGTTCCTTTAATAAATGCAGTTTCTTGTGTTGGAAACCCCGGCTTCGTGTTGTTCCTCCCGAAGGGGCATGCAGCAAGGCAACCCTACAACTCTTACTTGGGTTGAATGGCTCCTCAAAGCGAAATTCCAGAACAGGGAGGTTCTTTTTAGATCTCTTTGACGTGACGTTCAGTAGCTCGCTCTGGCTGGAAAGGTTCACACATATTGATCGCACAATTTCTTTCTGTGAAGATATGCAGTGAGCATAACGTAACAGTATCATACATTCTTTTCAGTCAACTGATCTTTACTCCAATGTTATACACTTTGGAACGGGTATTTTTAATGATTAAATGAACACATACCTGCCATAAATATTTTGATCTCTTAATAACGTCATTATTTATGATCGACGTCCGGAAGCGAGTGTAAGGTCGTAATTAACAAATTAGCTATCCTATATTCCGGACTATAGGCCACGGAGTATACATATTTGAAATTTTAAATTTTACACAGTGTGGACTATCTACAGATGCGGCTTATACAAGAAGTATTTTTTTTCTAGGTCGTTAGTTGTAACGACGTGATGGATTCTGTGAATGAGTGTGTATGTTAATGATGAATAATGTATGAGACAAACATCTTTGTGAGCTAAACGGGAGGGCTTTCGACAAGATGTGCTGTGTATGAGGATGCTTATATGTGCTGACTAGGCACGAAATGCAAATTATGCCCCGTGTGCACATTGTGCACTAGATGCGCAAGCTACATAAAAAAAGCTTTATTTTCTAATTTAAAAGTTGCTTATGCAGACTATACTCGGGATTCGCACAATAATACAGTGATTTCAATTTTCTCATTAATATTTGGCTTTGTTTTAGATGGCATATATTAATTAGTTACTTGCAGCCCATAGTCCGCTTGGCTAGAGGAATTGTTTATTTTCTAAAAACAAACATTCTGCTTCACAATATTCCGTAGAGGCTGTCAGCGGTAAACACAGTGCAATACCAACCCCCCCCCTCCCACCCCCCCTCCCCCCCCCCAAAAAAAAAGAGCAGGCAGGAAGTTTTGTCTCTAAAGAAGCATCAAATTATGACAGACAGTGACCAAATTTGTGTCCTCAGAATAATGCAGTGGGGCTTACCTTACATTATCACTGTCCTTGTAATACAAGAGCATCAATGCGCTTTTTGAGTGTTCTTCAACGCTAATGATCTCCATTTCCATGCACGAAGCGTGAAACCCAATTAGCGGAGGTGGCGTGTCGGATGTTCGCTTTTCCAGAAACAATTTTTTCTCATAGAGAGATGCCAACATCTGGTGGTTAAATAAATATTCATTATGCAGCTTATATTCTTCGAGAACTTCATATGCTAGAAACACTTTCAGGTTGTTATTTATGTTCAGGCAACGACAGGAGTGTCGATTTGCTACCGTGCGGATCCGCCCTGGCATTTCCATCCGAAGTGCCTGGTTTCAATTCCATATGTTTTTGGCATTTATTAACGGCATAGGTTAGTGATATTTGAATTGAAAATATTCATATGCCTGCCCTATTGAAAAACAAACAAACAAACAAACGCACCCATACGACCCATAGCTTATCCTATTATACTACCCGTAGGGTGCATAGAAAAAAAAATTGATTAATTAACTGGATATTCCGCTGGTCTTTTTCTAGCGCTCCCATCTTCTGAATCAGATCTGGGAGATCCAGGAGCGTCTTCAAGCGCGAGCCGGAAGACTGGCGCGGCAACCGAATGCTCGGCAACTTTTCCGAGAGGCCCAAGCGCCGACACGGAAACGGATACCCAGGGCACCTTTCGCAACCGCTCCATTGCCAGGGCGCAAACTTCCGCCCGGTATGAAGAGTTTAGCCAATGCCATTTATTCATCCAGCGCCGCCTCGCATGTCCGCATGCCCGAACGATAAGTTGCAGTCTTCTATGCGGACGCTGGGCTTTGCTGTGCTCTCCCGTCCAGCGGCGAGGGTTCGGTAGCCAAACGCGGCGGCGTCCGACGCTAAGCCCTGTTTTATCTGCTTCTTTCTTTCTCCACTCAACAGCGAAAGTGGCTGGAGTCTCGTGACCGGTCCTCTGGCGCGCGATCCGACCGCTCCCACTTCGAAGTCAAAGAGCCCCACTGCGCTACGAGCCAGAGGACGGCGCGATCCGAGCACCTGAGAGCACTCTGAAAGATCCTCCCGAATAGACTTAGAGCGCCCGACTTCGACCATTTGAATGGGCATCGGCTTGTCAGCGCTCTGAGAGGCTGGAACTTGACCAGCCGAAAACACCACGAGTCGTTTTATCCGCAGAATTTTATAATTTCAAGTGGTTTAGTTATGCCTCCCTTACCTCATTCACATGTTATGCACCTAGCACACACAAAGTACGCTTCCCCATGGGCACCACGCCTACCAAATTAACATATCGCTAACTGGAAGAACTTTTTGAAAGTAAGTGCAAGGAAACAATGCCATTTATGTTATCTCATAAGGAAAGCAATCTAGAGAACCATAGCAAAACATAAAATTGACCTGTGCAATCTTCACCCTAAAAAAAAAAACAAAAAAACAATAGAAATAACACAATATTTTATGTAGCTTTTTCCGATGGTATTATGAGTGTATGCCTGAAAAACACGAATGGCGCTTTTAGACACAAATGGTCATATGAGTCTACTATAGCTCTTGTTTGAGTGAACGCAATTGATTACCATGCTTTATTTGAATCTTTGTAGTCTATTGTCAATAGTGCGCTTTTTGTGTCATATTTTGTTTCGAGGAACTCCATTTTTACGCCTGTTGCTGGAAATCCCAGTAGATAAAGATCGGACGCGGAAGATTTGTATCTGAGATAGATGTCCTTGTTTTTAAGTTCAGAAAGCAACTAATATTAAAAACGCAAAAAAAAAAAAAAATGGAAGCATTTAATGTACACTTACTTGATTATATTTATGAGTACCTAAGTTACGCCTTTTTATATTCAGCACATTTATGTCATTTTTATTTCGTTTTAGTTAGGCAAAACATAATTAAAACATATGAGCTCATTTTGATCGTAAATCATAAATAATGCTCTGCTTAGCGTTTAACGTTAAATATTTTCAATCCAAGATAGCTCTATGAAATGAAATTATGAAAAACTGAGGCGACAATTAGCAAACATCTAATGACTTAAAAGGTCTAAGTTTCTCGCCGTAGTCTCAACTCATTGAGGTGTTAGAAGAAATGTAATTTACGTTACATTTGATAACCTTACAGCTGTTGTGGCGAAGCGTATGAGCATACAACTAAATGTCTTGTATGCCCCTGAAAGAAAAATAAATTAGTAATTTACATTTAAGAAGCATGGAAGCCATTTACCTATTTACCCGACTGGAAAACAAACGTTTTCACATATGTCTTACTTCTAATTCACCCGTGTCACGTAGTAGAAAGACTCACGTCAATCGCTTGACTGGGAGTGCTAGCGCGACTGGGAGTCGTAAGACTGCTGGGAGTCGTTGGACTGCTGGGAGTCGTTGGACTGCTGGGAGGTGTAGAATCACTGGGAGTGATAGGATTTTCAGGTATCCTTGTGGGAACATCGGCCTTCAAGAGAATGAGTATCACATTTTGGGCATTAAAATGCTTTTTAAGAGAGTTGTTAATATTTTTAGTGAGAATATTCGAGGCTGAAAAACACAGTCCAGTTGTTTGTCTGGTTTTGAGCGTTCCTGAGAACCCGACGCATGCAGTTTGCAGGAGTAGTAGAAGATCCAGGATGAATTAAATTTTTTATGGTATCGTAAATATTGGGCGTAACTATAAAAATAAAAAAGAAACGAAGGTTGCAGCTAAACAGGGGGACGATCCTACAGCGCTCAAGAACAGTGACCAAGAAATGCAGCAACGGACAATACACGACATGCGCTTACTGGTAATGCATTTGCGAGTTTGAAGTATAATGAGTGTTACCGGTGCTACAGCGTTATCAGAACCCATACCTTTGCGTTGAGAGTTCCCATTGCTTCATGTGAGTATGTTTGTATGTTTTTATTATTTTACCTAACGTTTCTTTCTGTTTTATGCGTTAAAACTTCAGACGCGAATCAACGCGTCTCATCTCGTGTCTGCTACTAATTTTAAATTTTGGTTCTTGAGCGGTGTAGCATATTAATAATGTTAAACATATACCAACTGGTTCAATGAGCTTTTACCAAGACGGGTTTTGCGCATGCTCCCGTTCTCCATGAACAGCGGCGAAAGTTGGGATTGTGGGTGGACAGAAGCAAAAAGGGGGAAGCTCCTTTGGGAGAAAAGCCGTATGTTCTTCCCCCTCTGCGTCTCGTGTGCTGCAATTTGTATTCAAATGTGCACTACGTTATTACACGCAACGCAGTTTTCTAGATGAAACGCTCGTCTTACTAGATGCTGGCAAACGGGAAAAAAACTCAGATTCGATCGAGCTATGAGCCGTTATCTTGCCAAACGACGTGCCGACCGTCCGTTCTCGCTTCCGTCGCTTCGACCGCAAACGTGCCAGTCTGCTTGAAGAGAAAGCGTAAAGAGGCTAGGCTGGAAATAGGGTGAAATAATGTCAAAGAATTATTTCAATATATTTTTTAATTAAACTTTAAAATACAACGAAAACGAACTGCCGGATCACAGCGTGAGTTCGTCCCCATGGAGCCAATCGATGGCACAAGCCGCCAAATAATCGAAAGGGTTCAGTCGTATGCATTCACCTCTTGAACGGTTACATCCATCGCCTACAATAAATTATCAGTCGGCCGGTCACGTTTTTTTCTTCAGTTAGTCGTTGAACGAATTTCTGTTCATGCTCTCGCACCTGACGTGTCCACGCATGGGTCTTTTGCTAGTTCGTGTGAGAGTGTCAAAAGTACTCCGTAGACTATCTCAGATAAAGACTTGGCGGTCAATTCTAGCTGTAAAATGTTCAACGCGAACGTCGCTGTACCAATGCGCGTGTGCCAGTTACTATAAGACGTGTTAAACATAGCCAATATAGCAAGCCGGCAACGGTCAGGCGGCGCCAGCAGAGTGAAAGCCCACAGTTATGCCCTGTCTGGTTGTAACTTGGCAGAGGGTGAACGCTACGCCCTAGATTGCGTTTCCACGGTATAGATATGCTCTATACGTATGCGAGCGCCATGCACATATAATGAAGCATGACGCAGCGAAAAGACTGACACTTCTTGCAGTAAAGGCGTACTCCGGCGATACATAGTAACGTGCCTAACTCCGTCGTTACGATTCGCCCTACGGGGCCTTAAGGGGATGCTGAACCGCAATCTGGATTCCACAAAACACGCGGCAAAAGCGTGCAACGGGATGCTAAAAACACCAAAACATCACTCATACAGCAATATCTCGAACGGATGACCGTATTTTTCAAGAAAAGGAGGCGCATTTGGCAGAAATGTTTGCGTCATCTTTCTCCAAGAAGGAGAGGGAGCGGCCTCGCGTCTTCTCCGCCTCGTCGGCTTCGTTGGCCTAGTACAATCTCGACCTCTTTTTCCGAAAATACGGCCGTCCATTCGAGATATCGCCTTACGAGTAGTGTTGTAAGAATTGTAGCGTCCCACCTACATCTCCTAAATTGTTTTTTTTTTTAAATACAAATTTTGGTTCAGCATTTCCTTAATGTCCTCCTTACAGGCGTGTTATGCGATCACGGCTTCCTGGCCTACCCAGCATTTCTTGCTTCAGACACTAGGCGAAGTGGCGCCACCAAAGTGATAGCTCACGTTTGAGCGATGCAGCCGCCTCTCCCTGGCGTACCCAATGTTTCTTGCTACAGTCGCTAGATTGCGCCATATAAAACAACATTGCAGGTGGCCCATAGCCTGAATACTCCTGTTGAAACTCTCTACCAGGCCATTCGTCTGAGGATTGTTGGGAAAAGTAGTCGCATGCTCAATCCGGCATTTTCGTAGAGAAGATCTAAAAGTACGGGACATGATTGGTGTTACTTTGTCAAAATAAATGTTAAACGCTGTGTAGAATGCCTCGTACAGAGTGTTTATTTAGAAAGATCGACTAGATGTACAGTTTGTGGTTTTAAACTTCCGCCGTCCGCCGCAGATAATCGGCCCGGCGATTTATTTAGAACGGAATAATTACTGTCATGGCGGTGCACAACTATACGCGAAGGGAACTATAAGAACATCGGGCCAGAAGAGAGGGCTGACGTAGCAGCAACCGCTCTTATTTGTGGCATAGAAGGATCCCGATGCTTGAGTCTTAGATTGAACGGATGTCCGGAAGTGGGCGGAGGTACTGCGGCCGAACTTGCCGCGTCACCGTTGTC